GGGGGAGGGATAATTGACTTTGCAAGAGAACCCCTTGAGGACTGAGTTAGCATGATTGCAAAAATAATTGTTAGTGATTAATGCTACCTTTCAGTGAGGAAAGCAATTAAATCGTCAATTTTGTGTACTAACTCTCACAGCCAATTAAAAAAAGAGATTTATGTGTGTTGTGGATATTATTGAAACATCCATTTTGAACATAAATTTACCACGTGATACCAGATGAATTATTTCTCAAATGTGGTGTTTTTTTAATTGTTCGCACCGCCCCATTTTGGTGGTGAATTGTTTATTCCTAGCATGCAATTAAAAAATTGAGTTCATCTCATACAAGCTAATTGCAGGGAAATAGATTCTGTGACCTTTTGAGGATAGGGGGGGGGGGGTACGGTTGCTTTTTTTCGGTATGATTGTGTTTACGACTTGCGGTATATTGAATTTATAAATTTTTTAAAACTAACTGAGAAATATGCTGGCAAATCAAACTTTTTCACAAGTGTCAGCTGAGTTATTGTAGCGTATTGAATTGCACTATCGCATTTGGGAAATCGATTTTTCGTTCCCACAAGCAATAACAGAAATAACTTGCATACTTTTTACCTATTTTCAAGGTGGCGTAGTTAAGAGAGTGCCTTCGTTCTGAAATGAGTCAGAGACATAGAATTTTTTATTCTATGATACCATAGAAAGGTTTATAGGTTCGATTATTATCAACTGTACATATATCCCAACTAAAAGATGAGATGGAAGGCTTTGGAAAACCAATCAATATGGATATAAAGAAGATCTAATAACCGTCACACTATTTTAAGTGTGGAATAGTCAAAGTGCGGAATGGAAGCTGGGCATTGGTTGGGTGGAAGTGTAGATGTTAGAGCAGCTAAATATTTGAACCCCCTTTGAATCCTGGTTTTATTATGCTGCGTATGGATCAGTATGTCACGTGCTTAAGATCTGAATTTGGGAATTTGATTCAAAGGTGCCTGGGTGAATTGCCACTCATAACGCTCAAATCATGTCGTCCAGTTGTTTTAACTGAGTACTAGGTCTTGACAAATCAATAATTATCTTCCTTCAATGTCTATGTAAAGCGAATTAATGCCATCTAAATTGGTAGAATTCACAATTGATGATGTTGGCAGTCACTTAATTGCTCCGGTCATTAAAACGTAAACAGGCAACTTATGAATGACTAACAAGAAATAAATACTGCAGTTTTAATGCTTCAACTTAGTCCGTTATGAGCCAAATCAAACCAAAAAAAAACCACAGTTGGAATGCAAGTTGCCTGGGGCAATGGTTAAAATCGGAATCATTGAAAACATAAATTGAGATTTAGTGTTCAAGAATGGATAGCGCGGTAATGAGGAATAATTATGAATTTCGGCGCAGATGTGTAAGGAAGGGTCAAGCAGTAGGCACTTGTACTAAAGCACATATGCAGGGAGGTCACTGAAAGTGACGTCAGGTCAACATTTATATATACGCATCATCTGGCGTGAGATGAACCAGCTGATAAAACGGAGTTGTTAGTCACACTAACCCGATAAATCGATATCTTCTACCATTTATTTGGTACTGATTGGTATACCTTGAAAGAACAGGGTTCACTCGAGTCCACAGAATTACAAACCTACTCTCAGATTAGCTATTATTAATAATAATAATAATAAAATGCAAATATAATAGAAAGGCGAAACTGTTAAGATGAAGTAATTGGTAAGTAATTAATTTTATTAACTCAATTTCATGGAGAAGATAATAACGATGTACTGGGGCAAAAAATATTAATTAAACACCGAAGGAGCTAAATTAAGAGACGCGGGTGGGGAGAGGTGATTGCAAGCGATCTTAGGCCAACTCAAGAATTTTGCTAAGAAAGGTAAAAATTGCATAATATTCTACTATCTGAGTCCTGTGCTGTGAAGTAGATCGTATTACGCAACTTTGCCTCTAATTTGTCCAATCATTTTCACCCTTTTTTACAACCACCCGCCAACTGATTGCAGCTTTAGAGAAAATCCGAACATGCCATTTCAAGGCGGACAATAATAATATCAATTAAAGATGCAGTTCTCACTTAATGCGTTGGAGAAAAAATTGAATCCCCTTATTACTTAAATTGTATTTAAGTACTTAATTTTATAGACTGTTTCACTTTTATTCGACTGCTAACAAACTGGGGTGTTCTTAATGATAGACAGAGCAATTCACCAACTAGATCATACGAGATAATTGCATCCGTAAAGAATCCAATTATAAAGTGATTCACCAGATGAGTAAGAAGTAAAATCGCCAAGATCTGGAGGACAAATATAGAAAAGAGTATGTCTTGGTGAATTAAAACTAAAAGATTGTATGAAGTAGCCAATGTGAAAAGAATTGGAGCATGATTAAAAATTTTCATCGAATAGGGTATACCATGTGAGATAACACTGCTCACAAATTTCTGCTAACTTGAGTTAAAAATTATTGCCTGCCCCCAATGGAATCATAAGAAAACCACATTTTTTTAAGAAAAATTAATGCAATACTGTGGTGTAACAATACCTAGCCTCCGCGCAAATTCCCATATCTCATAATCAGGTAGAATTTTCCACCAGCAGAAAACACTTGACTTCACGGTCAATCCCGCTGATGCAATTAAGAAAATTCACAGTGACAGTCTTAATTTTGGCAAGACAAAGCCTCCCCCCTCTCTCCCCCGCAAAACACAAAACAGAAGGCAAATAACCTATGATAAAATTTCCCATTGAGCTATTTCTAAAATTTTGCATCTATTGCTTTTCATATACTCTGTGTAAAATATACTCCAACATTTCTTATGAATAGGCAGTCATTCTGACGTCATTTGAGACCTGACTGGTGTTGGTAACCTAAATTTGACATTGAACCACA